GGGGGGGGGGGGGGGGCATTCAGAAAAGATAGCGAAAGGGGTTAGATCATACTGCTTTCTGCACTTATGACTGATATGATTGAAAAAGTGTAGAGACTAACCGCCACCCCACCCATCAAATCGGCTACTACACATGATTTTAGGATAAAAAGAGTTCAGAAGTTGGTCACCTATAACCCATATCATCATCTTCTGCTCCCCAGCCCCAGTAAGCGTTGGAATAACCATTGACAGCCTGGAAGTCCTGGGGAGTAAACATCAACACACCGCCCACTAAGCGACCGTAAAGAAGACTGAAATAGAGAAAAACAATATTGAAATTGCATATTATGAGACAACAACTTCATTTACTATTCTCGTAATGCCAGCTTTAGATTTAAATCTATGATATAACTATGCAATAGGCCTACATACATTTTATCGTCTTTAAATAGAATAAAATATTTTGTTAGAAGGAAATTTTTGATTTGTCGGAGCATGCTTTCAAACGAAAAAACGATGAACATTGCACCATATAGTGGTGCGCTAGAATGCAATAGGAATGCAAATGTAAAGAGAAAAATTATGTTTTTTATCTATTTTCTCAAATATGTTACAATGGTATGAAGGTCTGATACGCACATTGTACAGTATGTCATGTCTGTAAGTCTTGCAAAAATATATGTACAAGCAGAACCAAATCAATTTACAGCCCTTGTCTAAAAAAAATTTATAAGACAGAAGAACATACAGCGTTGCTGTAATCTTACTGGTAGCCTAATTCATCCACAGCTGGTGCCAAGTGTCTTGGCCCTTTGGCGCATGCGTAGGAATTGTTGTTAAGTTCCGGAATGAGATCTACGTCGTGGAATATAATACAATCCGTGGGGAAATGCTGTCTTGTTTCTAAAAAGGCTGCGTTCATTAACATCGCCTTGTTGTACACTCCAATTCCAATCTGAAACATGAAGCACATTACAAAAATGGGTCGCATGCCCATTATTGTAATGCACCAGCAGACTCATTATAAGAAATATCACAATTAATGGATAAAAAGATCACATATTTATTCCTCGGAACAAGGAACTGTATGATTTCATGTTGTCGTCAAGGGAAGGCGCCCGGGGTTTCAAAGGAAAATAACCTGATAAGACTGGAAACTGTTGTCTCTAGGATCACGACATAATCTTATTATTATGTTTTCTTAAACTCAGGGTGGGGGAAAGGGCACAATTGCTGACTTGTTATTGAGCATTAACTATCTATATCATATCTGAAAATTCAAAAATATTATCTAGTAAGTCGAATATCTATCTTAAGGGAAGTATTTGGGGGAAACATTTTAAAATTGTTAATCAGAGATGCAAAATTATTTTAATTTTCATATGATCAGAAATGCTGCCTTCACAACTACTGGGTCAGTATATATGTCTGTAAGGTACATGTATACTGGTACCTGTTCAACAACTAAAATCCTATACTTTAAAAGTTGCCTCTGTAGAAAAGGATGCATAAAATTTAAAAACACCGCCAGGTGGCCCCATCTATCCCTGAATGGCACTACTATGGTGACGCTATTTCTCGCGAGGCAGTTACGTGGGTTCCATTTTCCACCTGGACCGATGCCTTGCAGCTTCTGAGAGACTTCTTGGAGGCTTATAGTAAAATTCTTCGTAACTCCAGTGTTTCCAACTGAAAACGATGAATTGTCTTTTTTAATTAAATTTCTACCTCAAATATTGACCTTAGTTTCAGGTCGTATACACGGGCCAGGTTCTTCATTTTAGCCCAGGTGCACAGACCAAAAATATTAATCACGAAGACGCTGAGCCGCCTATTCAGGGCAATTCTAAACCAAATTAGGAGAAAAACTATAGATCTTCTACCTGTGCCTATAAACTGCTTGATTCTGTCATTTTCTGATTGTTTAATCCATATGAGAATATCTCTCGCGGTTAAGCATACGATTACGTACATGTATTCTGCAGTCTAGACTTCAAACATAGTACCGTGCGCACATTAATCGCCCAAACCTTATTTTATACAACAGGTGTAATCCATGCATTAACCGACCGAAGTATACAAATACGTGTCACACATGTGGAAACGCTTTCTAGTCGCCCATATGTCGCATTTTGATTATATATCTTTATCAGACTAAGACTTAACTGCAACTGCCATTATGATCAATGTCAAAATGTCTATGTTCGCAATTATCAGAAGAATATTTCAACATTTGGACTCTAAGACATTCCTACCTGTCTACAAATCACTAGTACGTACTCACCTGAATTATGCTAGCTCAGCGTGGGCACCACACAAGAGCAAATTCATTGATCAAATTGAGGGAGTGCAGCGTAGGGCTACAAAACAGCTACCGGGTATGAATAACCTTAGTTACCCAGAAAGGTTACGTAAACTTGAGTTACCAACACTTAGCTATAGGAGGGTGAGAGGGGGCATGATTGAGATGTACAAACTAGTCACTGGGAGATACGACAAATCAACTAGAGATTTTATTAAGTTATGGTCAAGTCAATCACATAGGTCTGGTAATAGAGGAAATTGTTTCAAGCTATTCCCTCAAAGAGCCAAATTAGATTTGAGAAAATACAGCCTTACTGTGCGTACAACACTTATATTGAATAGCCTACCCGATCAAGTTGTCAGGGCAAAAAGCCTCAACTCTTTTAAGAACAGATTAGACAAGCGGTGGGATGACCAGGAACTCAAATATGACAATTATAGGTCCGAAATTAACATCATCGGAAGTCACAAGTTAGTTTTGGAGGAAGAGTCCGATAAAGAGGATCCAGTAGGAACCTGAATCGGAAATCAACGCTAATCTAATCTAATCTAAAAAAAATCCTAGTGGGGTGAAATATTAGCGAACTTTGAAGTGAAACTTAGAGTATTGTTTTAACACACACACACACACACACAAACACACACACACGCTCGTACAGACACACAAAATAAATTACATAAAGGAAAGGACGAACGAAAGTAAACAAAATTTATTTAGCCATCTCTTTACCTTTTTTCAATTCTATCCCTTTTTATTCTAGTCACGTGATCATTCCAAATATGGACCAAAATGAAAATAAGTATATATATATATATATGAGAGAGAGAGAGATAATAAAAACATGTTACACTTACCAGACCGACTTACGTCTATATCACACAGACGTAATATCTTTTTAGACACATTACGATCACCTGTAGCAGCTAAATTTTTGTCCACTTTTATTTTACGGTGACCTTCTCCAATGGTTTTAACTGAGTCACTTATCCTCAACGAGCTCTCTGACGATCGTAAAATCAAAACAAATCCAGTCTGAAGCAAAACAATCAGGATAGAAATCTTCACGACCAGCCTTGGTTTCCCAGCTCTTCTGGCCATTAGCGGGTTTCCCGGTCAATAATACGCTGATAATTCAGGGACAATCGCTCTAGTTTTAAAAGGAATGGCCCTGTTAGTGTGAGATCACGAATGAAATGATATCATCAAGACTGTCCAGGATCCTGACTGTCACCAACAGTTGCTGTGACCCACTCGATCCGAAACTAAAAAACTGCGTTTGCGGTCTTGTTAGGTACTTGGATCATAAGTGAATAGATAATAGCATTTACTTCCTTGGCGAGTATGAGTCGATTTTTGCTATCGAACAGTTATCCCACGATCCATGTATTCACTTGTTACCGATCAAAGATCGAATGGGCCTGTAAAAAACAATGATCCAAGGCACAGTTCAAAGTGCTGAAAGTGTGAGGCACAGCTGTTTCAGTTTTGGGCCTTACATGCGACACATTAACTACTGTAGTTGTTCACTGTCCTGTAGGTAAGCCTCATTCAATTCTGTGTTTAAAACCTTCCATCGAGATTATACATACCCATGTCCTAGCATAACTTCGTTTCCTCCGTTGCTCTTTGTATTATATAATCGGCAATTGAAGTTCTTTTTGTATCGACTCAATTTGATACAATTCTAGTCTTTTTATTCCAGCTATACAACAACCACTCCCGCATATAAACGTCCTGTTTGTTAGTAACGGGACACCTGACCTCGAAACTTTTTCACAGGTAGGTCTTTATTACGTCAATACTGCGCAACTTCAAAAGACGAGATTTGAGACTACAGGCACAGAACCAGACAAACCCGACAAACGACACTAAGGCAGACAAATGACACTACTGACAGACAACTGGATGGCCATGGAGGCAGCCGGAGAGAGAGAGAGAGTGCATTGATGAGCATTGATATTCGTCAGGTGACATAGTGACATCAACTACGAGCACAAGATTATTTGCCCACCCATAAACTTTGTATCCTGAACACTATTCCTGGAAGAAATGTAGAATCAAAATAGAGTAAAATCAAACCCCCACCTTACAAGTAACATAATACTTCGATCCTTAAGGACAAACAAACAAACTTTATTGACATCTCTCAGCACAATAACGAAGCTACTTAATTCTGAAAATGATTGCAGAATGTATTTAAACGCCCTTGAGGAACTTGCTGGAAATAATTCTTCTAGTGATGAAAAAGCTTGAAAGCAGAAATCCCTATATTTGAATATGTATTCTCCTATAGATATTACGTTTTGAACAACCTTAGGTTTCATGGTCTAAATTAATTTTAAAAAAATTAGAAATTGTCTTTGCGCCTTGAGGAACACCTTATGAAATACTGACTTTGGATGAGGTCATCTCTTTAATTGGTTGAACGCGTGAACCAGACTGATCCGAAGCTGGGACAAAGGGGGTTTTCACCGTATTTTAGGTCATTCGGCTTAAGACTACAATACAATGAAAAGGTAGGAGTGCCAGTAGCGAATAAAAACGCGACAAGGTACGAATAAACAAAGCATACATTCATGTACACTGTCTACATTCAGTGTTTGTTTTCTTGTGTTCTTATTTCTTACTTGAACATTAGCGGGATAATGAATAAAATTATACAATGCATGATATGGGCTCAAAAATAAAAGAAGAAAAAACGTAACTAATTTCAAAGTTCAATAACTTCACAGTCATCCGAAATTTCATTGCAATACCTTCAAATCGTTGAAGTTATTGTTCTTTTTGAGCTACCTGTTATAAACAAAAAGACCAAAAGTTCAGCATATTCTTAATTTAATTATTATGAAAAAAGTAAACAAAAAGAATGCTTTTAAGCATATATAGGCACCCAATATTCTGTATAGCTTCTGCGTAATTAAAAAAAATTACAGGCATTATAGTTTTATCTTTAGAAGATGCATATACCTGTATATACACATAAAAAAACGTAATTCAAAAATTCTTTTGAAAACAGAAATCGGATGTGAATTTTTCATTAGAATAAACGCTTGTCCCGCGCTAAAAAAAACTATGTTCATCTTTTCGACGTCCGTCACAAACATTGCCTCTTTCACACACCGCCTTGAATCGTACATCGTAACAACGTTATCAAAAGTCACGAAGCAAAAAGTAACGCCAAGGCTTCCTTCACATGGAAAGTCTATTTTCTAAAAAACTATTTTCGCGGTATCTTGTAATCATGGTCCCTGTGCCCTGAATATCCCGCAGCGTAATTACTGGCGGCGCGAGCCAGTTACTTCCAAAGCTGTAATTAATACTCGGGATATTCAGGGCACAGGGACCGTGATTACAAGATACCGCGAATAGAAAATAGATTTTTATAAAATAGACTTTCCATGTGAAAGGAGTTTAAGTCACAAATGTCTCTGTGTCTACGCCGTAAAAAAAGCTATTATTCACATCATTTTTTTAATTGCTCATTGAAGCAATAAATATACCAAATTAATAAAGCACCGCTGGCTTTAAGACAGATGTAACAGGAATGGTAGTCCTAGGAATGCAGTCCGGGGTCCCATATAATTAGAACAGGTTAAGGTAAGTCGGAGTATTGGGGTTAGTATATGAGACGAATGTCACCGGAACAAATAGCCATGGGAAGCAGACTATGGTATCTAGCAGATTACCATTCCCTGGTACAAGACCTCTGTCTGTCGCTCTTTTTGTAGTTAAGCAATATATACGCGTATATGTATTGTTGCATCCCTAGATGAACGCTTGCTTGGTATCAGTACGTGTCAGGCGTTTTCCCTATGTCTATCAACATGTGCGTGAACAGGGGCTTTAATCTGATGTCAAGCACTGAGTAGTTAACGTTACTCAAACCGTCCCAGGGCTGTCGCTCCATGCCTTTATGGAGAATTTCAACTCTGGAATTACATATGAGAATTCGTGAAGTTCAGTATAGCTTTTACATCTGTACAGCTGAAGTTTATTGAAGGGGCATTTTAGATATATGCCCAAAACCTAAGATGACATTTGCGAAAAGCATAAATTTTAATCGGGTTTAATGCTCATGATGAAAATGAACATTTAAAAAATTAGGCCATTTATTTAAAATATTAAAAAGATATCATAAACAAAACATGGTTGTTTAAAATTTAGCCATTTCTAGTGTATATTTTTAACGCCAGTATTGCTTTAATCTAAACACTTTTGTAAGTCGCACGGAGATTTTATGGAAATCACCTTGTAAGAATGTATTAAAATTATTTTTTGTTTAAAACCTGATTTAAAAAAACTTTGTTGTACAGTGGCAGTCACACCTCTATACTTCTCTTGACAAATTTTAAGTCGAGCCCCCGAATTTATAAGTATTAATATATCATGTCTAAGTCTACATTTACCTTCTTTCGTTTTTCCGGCGCTGTGTATGCACTAACATAGTATAACGGCCAGTATTGAGGGATGGGCGCGTAATCCTTAAACCGGCCTTTTTTATTCTGAAATTGAAACAGATATGTAAGTCAATGAAGGTCGCCGAAGAGACAAGAACAATATGCACGGACGCGAGAGAGAGAGAGAGAGAGAGAGAGAGAGAGGGAGAGAGAAAGAGAGAGATTCTCCAACTCCTACATGTAAGAGTAACAGTTTGTAGGAAGCGAGTTTGTGTGTGTGTTGTGTGTATGTGTGGGTGTGGGGGGGGGGGAGATGACCATTCAGAATAAAAATAGCTAGGGGGCTTAGCTCATAATGCTTCCTGCGCTTATGACTGATATGATTGAAAAAAAGAAAAAGGTCATGTACCACCCCACCCAAAATGTCGCCCTGTGGCTTCTACACATACGACTTTAGGAGAAAGAGGGTTCAGACGCTGGTTACCTATAACCCATATCATCATCCTCTGCTCCCCAGCCCCAGTAAGCGTTGGAATAGCCATTGACAGCCTGGAAATCCTGGGGAGTGAACATCAGTACACCGCCCACAAGGGGACCGTAAGGAAGACTGAAATAGAGAAGAAAACAATCTTGGCACACTGAAACTGCATAGTATGAGACAACAACTTCATTGACTCTTTTCGCAATGCCGGTATCAGATATATGAATTTGATTATACTTTGCAGTGCATATACTAACAAAAAAAAGGAAACGCAAGTTTTGATATGTATATGGTTTTATGCTTTTGTGAGTCATCTTTCTCCATTCTTCCACCAGTGCAGCTCTTAACTCTATGAGGGTGGTAGGCTGTGGCTGGTGGTTGTGAAGTCGGTTGTCTGGTCTAAGAAAAAAGAGACTGTATCTGCTACTGCTGCATGTATGCCTGTGCTATCCTGGCGTTATGGGGACGGGTGATGTCCCGATGGAGCAAGCCTAGGGTTGGATGTTAGTGTACGAATGGCACAATCACCACGAGTTCTGTGTTATAATCACCTTAAAATCACCACGAGTTCTGTCTTACGCCTGCCCAAACCATGACACTGTGCCAGTGTCAATGACCAATGGCACAGCTCCTGTCCAGATCAGACAGCCGTGGCATGGTGACAGCATGGATTTCAGTCTCCTAAACTTGGTTTTTTTCCCCAGTGTCCACTGCGAAAAATAGAACTAAAAGCATTTTACAATATATATGTATACGGTGTTTCTTCAATCTTACTTGTAATCCAATACGTCCACAGCTGGTGCCAAGTGTCTTGGCTCTCTGGCGCATGCGTAGGAATTATTGTTAAGTTCTGGAATGAGATCTACGTCGTGGAATATAACACAATCCGTGGGGAATTGCTGTCTTATTTCTAGAAAGGCTGCGTTCATTAACATCGCTTTGTTGTACACCCCGATTCCAATCTGAAACATAAGGCACATTACAATGAAAGAATGCATGGCTTCATTCACCAGCAGGCCCATCATCAGAAATAGCACAATTAATGGACAAAAAGATCATATATTTATCCACCATAACAAGGAACTAATGATTTCATGTTAACGCCAAGGGAAGGTATCCTGGGTTTCAGAGGAAAATAATTTTAAAACACTGGAAACTGCCGTCTCTACATGTAGCGTCACGACAGAAGCATATCGGAGATATGCGTTCCAAGTGCCCTCGGAAACTCACGGTGGGGGCAGCGTTCATTAGCCGACTTGCAACTTAGTATAAGATAAATTATATTTAAGACTCGAATAACATTTCACGCAGTCAAATATCTATCTTAAGGGGCGTATATGAAAAATATTGAAATTGCCAGTTACAAAATCAAAATTAACACCAGCTTAGCTCATCAATTAGTAAAGTATTCTGAGTACTCAGGCTAAATTTCTATATGATCACAAATGTTGCCTTCACGACTACTGGGTCAGCAAGTGATGTCACTAAGGTACATGTATACTGGTACCTGCTCAACAACTAATATCCTGTAGTGTAAAAGTTGCCTCTGTAAAAAAGGATGCATGAAATTTAAAAACACCGCCAGATGGCCCCATCTATCCCTGAATGGCACTACTAAAGTAACGCTATTTCTCGCCAGACAGTCGCGTGGGTTCCATTTTCCGCCTGGGTCGATGCTTTGCAGCTTCTGAGAGACTTCTTGGAGGCTTATAGTAAAATTCTTCGTAACTCCAGTGTTTCCAACTGAAAATGATGAGTTTGGTTTACAAAAAATTGTCTTTTTCTCTTTAGAATTTTACGTAGGATACTAGTCTGAGTTTCAGGTCCTACGCGGGCCATTTTCTTCGTTTTTTTAGTGCGCACAGACTAAAAAATTGATCATGAAGACGATGGCACACATTAGAGCCTCAAATTTAGGGTATTCAGTTGCTACTTATTTTCCAGATCAAGAGAAAAACATTAGCTATACTACGTGTACCTATAAATTACTTGATTTTGTCATTTACTGTTTAATTCATATGAGAGTATCTCTCGCGGTTAGTCATACGATTACGTATTCTGTACTCAAGACTACAAACATAGCAGGTATACCTATATATGCTTACATTAATCGCCCAAACCCATTTTTATACAACAGATGTAATCCCATTAAGGACCTAAGTATACAAATGCGTGTTATACATGAGGAACAGCTTTCTAGTTGCCCACTTGTCGAATATAGATTTTTTTCATACTTAGACCGTACTGCAACTGCCATTATGATCGATGTCAAAACTCCCAACTGGATAAAATAATAGCGAACAATCAGCCTTGTTTTACCACACACACGCGCCGAGAGACACACATAAATAATTTAATTTATTTATTTATTTATTAACGTGACATGTGAGAGCCTCACCCGGCCTCATGGGCCTACAAGTCACCGTACTATATAATACTACAATATATCAGAAACAAAGAATAATAATAATAGTAAAAAAAAAAATAATCATCATAGTAATATATATACATAAATATTAAAGCTGGAAGTTAAATAAACACTATAATTCATGGTATACTCAGCACATGTGCCGCCTTAAACTAGAGGATCAGAGAGGCGATACCGCCTCCGAATATTGTACCACCAGCTGGAGCAAGCGCATTCGTATAGACCTCCACATACACAAAGTAAGGGACACAGCCACCAGTCTTGTGCTTGACAAGCTGTAAAAATGCAATCACAGGAATTTCCAAAATA